AAACAAAAAAGCAGTAAAAACAAAAATGCAAAATGAATAGCAAAAACATGATAGACCTCAGCTAAACACTCAAAATGGAAGTGTGGTGCTCAGAATGGAAGCGTTCACAAACCTGGAACACTTCCGGGTTTGCAGTGTTTGGGTTCCAAGTTGTTTGAGTACCAGGGCGTTTGAGAACCAAGGTACCACTGTATACCAGACAAGTAGTCTTGCTTTCTGTTTGATAATCATAACCATCATCACCACCTACCTCTCAATTTAGTCGTGGCGAGGGAACAAAAAGAAGAGGCCTACCTAGTCCCTGGTGGGCTGGGTTTGGCTCAGTGGGTCACAAATTTCTTCAAAAAAACAGAATGGGTTTAACAGCAGCAGAACATGTGGATTTACTGATGCATGAACATAATGGCTTAGATCCTAACTTCCCTTCCAGAACAAAAGGAAGGTTTCCTACCTTCCCCTTTCTTCTGCAGCCCCTGAATATCTGTTTCTAGGGTAAGGAGATCATTAGTAATGGTATGGAATGATGCAGCGGGCTGAAAGTGGAGGGAAAGTGTGATTCACTTCCAAGTGGCGCTGTGGGTTAAACCACAGAGCCTAGGACTTGCTGATCAGAAGGTCAGCGGTTCGAATCCCTGTGATGGGGTGAGCTCCCGTTGCTCGATCCCTGCTCCTGCCAACCTAGCAGTTCGAAAGCACATCAAAGTGCAAGTAGATAATTAGGTATCTCCCTGGCGGGAAGGTAAACGGCGTTTCCATGCGCTGCTCTGGTTCGCCAGAAGCGGCTTAGTCATGCTGGCCACATGACCTGGAAGCTGTACTCCGGCTCCCTCGGCCAGTAAAGCGAGATGAGCACCGCAACCCCAGAGTCGGTCACGACTGGACCTTTTTAAAAGTGATTAAGGGTCGGTTAAGAAGCACAGCTATAATGGCTGTTGCAATCACAAGAAAGGAAACTGACATGTTAGTAGAAGAATTTTGGGCAGAATACAGTCCCAGCTCAGTTGGAAGCAAGGTTAGGTAGAAGGGGTTCTAATAATAGAAAGACAATTCTAATTAATTGCAGGAAACCAAAGCTGTCAGAGGAAAGTTAAAAGAGGCAAATCGTTAAGGAAATCAAGGCTGGCTGACTCAAGTTTGAGTCAGCAAGACTGTCAAGAACATCTGACAGCGCTTTAAAAGTCACCTGAAGCTACAGACTGCAATGCAAAATGCCAAGTTCTTCTGTATTATAAGAATTTCAGAACAAGCTTATTCCTGGGGAAAAGTCAAAGCCTCGGGAAAGAGCCATAGCTCAGTGGCTGCCACCTGTGCCTAAGAAAACGTGATCATCCTTTCTTGGAGAAGAGTGTCCCCTGTCCTGTTTGGACTTCAAACGGGATACCTTTTTTCACGTAGCTCATCCTCATTCTCAAAATTGCACGGGCAGAGGGTAGGGTGGGTCTGGGAGGAGGAGTCTGAGAGAGAAAGTTTTAGCGTTGGCAGAGGGTGCGTCACAGAGAGCGAGAGAGGGAGTTCGCAATTCAATTTTGCACAGACAAGGGGCAGCAGGTGGATCAGAGAGTGAGAGAGGGGGTTTGCTGGGGCCTGTGCAGGAGAGAGGGTTTTTGCATGCTCAGAGGGGCAGGGTGGGTCAGTCTCAGAGAGCGAGAGAAGGAGTTTGTCTAACCAATTCGCATTGCAAAGCCCAGCTATGCAGGTAATGTACAATATTTTTCTTGCAGTTGTAAATCATAGTGCTTTTGTTGTTTTCACTGAATGAAGCACTGCAAACCCTGTGTACCACTGTAATGGACTGAAGTCATTTCTGCAAAAGGGAAAGTAATTTTCAGTCCTCCAATCTCCACCCCAACCTGTCCCACATATTTTGGCACGAGCCTTCCCTCTATGAGACAAAACATTTGCCCTCATAGGCCTGGTCACAACCACTCTCCCACACAATTTATTGAATGAACACCAACATAAGATTTTTTTTCCTAAAAATTAACAAAAAACTATCAACCATATATAACAAAAGTTAACACAATGCTGGCGGCACAGAACAGAGCTGCCACATTTACAGTGATAAAGAATTGCTTGCGCTACATATTTCAGTATGGTTGGATAGCCCAGGACACAGAAACACCTGTCTGCTTATCACCATCTAGAGATGCACATTTACATGAATCTTATCCATGCGTTGGCAGAACTGTCCATTTGGGGATCTTTATTGGATATAGCTGCATACCCCAGATATTATTGCACTGGATCTCATTACCTTAGAGCAGGCACCCCCAAACTCGGCCCTCCAGTTTTTTTGGGACTACAATTCCCATCATCCCTGACCACTGGTCCTGTTAGCTAGGGATGATGGGAGTTGTAGTCCCAAAACAGCTGGAGGGCTGAGTTTGGGGATGCCTGCCTTGGAGACACCCAAATTCACATAGCTCATTGTTGGGAGAAATTAGCCCCAATACATTTCAATCCTTCCTTGTTTGCATTACTTGCATTAGATACACCACCAGCTCCAGGGGATTAATTAGATATATGCAGATTCCTGCCTGAAATCCTGGAAGCAGGAGCAAGGCAGTGCAGACCAGACCTACAGGCTGCAGAGTCATATGTTGTTTGACTACAATTCCCATCATTCCCAGCCAGTTTAATTGGTGACCAGGAATGATGGGAAATGAAGTCCACCAAAATCTGGGGACTCAGTGTAGCAATAAGGACCAATGATTTGACTTGGCATAAAACTATCATCTGACTATGGCCCTATGTATATTGTATCTAGCCCACAAGCGCTGATACAGCTGTTATGTCTTCAAGGGGTGGGTGAGTGTGGATGTGCAGGCACACACACAATTACCATCCAGGAATTTCTCTTCTGGTCGACTCCAAAGAGGAAAACTTTTAACAACCTTAGCAAGTCTGCCTTAAATAAAAGCCATGTCTTCCTCTTTCCCTTAGCTCCTAATCTCGTGATCACGTCGAAGCGCACACGGGGCATTAAATCCATAGCACAGAAAAGGAGGGGGTGCAGAATGGGGTTTAAACCCAGCGGTTTCTCTCGCCCGCCGTCCCTCTTCGGCTCTCTAACGTACCCAAAACACAAAACTGGCCGGCCAGCTTGCAAAACGCCTCCCAAAAGAACGAGGCACATAGTGGGAGGGAAGGTGGGTTGATCACATGAGGACAGGGTGGAGCTCCTCGTTCCCACCCGCAGTTTAGCTTTGACCAGGAAGCAGGATCCGCAAGGGAAGCTCTGTAAGTAAATTCAGGAGACAGGTTTGCATTTCTGATTGAGAGCACTTGAGCAACTTCTCGGCGAAAGAGGCCGAAGGGCAGAGGAGCAAGTAGGAGCTAAATTCCTCCTGCGTTGCCGATTTGCAAAGCAAGATTTGGGAGGAGGAGGAGGACCCTGCGGCTGAACTACAGCTCCCATCATCCTTTGCCACCGACCGTTCTCCTGGGAACGGTGGGAGTTGGAGTCCGGCAAGGTCTGTAGGGCCGCGGCTGCCCCATCCCTCCTTTGGGGGTGGTGAATGGTATAAAATTTGAGGCTTTTAGTTCAGTGGCCATTGTGGTGGTTTGTTGTCTGGAAACAACAAATATTACCAGATTGGGGATTAAATAAAATGTTTTTGTCTAAATGAGTAGACACTGGTGGAACAACTCTGCATGCGAACAGGTTTTCAGACCTGCTCTTGCTCATGCAATTCACTCCCACAGCATTGACAGGTTTAAAAAAGTCGCATGTTTGGACAGGCGTTTCCTGACTCGTAATTTTATGATCACACTCTGCTTTTTCATATTATGCACGTATTTACTTTTTGTTTGTAATTTTATTACTGCAGTTTGTGCGAACCGCTTAGAGATTTTCTAGCACTAAGTGATGGCTTTCCACTCTGCATAGCGTCCGTTTATTATTTCATTTTTGTGTGCCCGCAAAACACTGTAGCCCCTTTCAGACCTTATGAATGGGGGGGGGGGAATGACATTGCAGTGAGCTCCCCTCTCCCCCAGAGCCAGCTCCATGCAAAGTGCCCCCTCATGGTGTGTGGGGGGGTCATCTGTCAGTAGTTCACAGCAAGCTTACCTGGCTTCACTTGGAGGCTTGGTCTAACCATCCTTTAAATTCCCACAATGCCTCAGAATGATGCTAAGCTGGGGGCATTGTGGGAAATTCAAAGGGTGACTAAATACAGCTGCCCGATGCTCCATGGAGTAACCCTCCCCCTTTTTATGGGTGCTCAGAACAGGGGTCAGCAATTGGCCCTGCCAGCCCTCTGGAGCTCTAGCAGGTGCCTGAGGGTTCATGTGCTGGCTCCAGCCCTGCCCTCCTGAATGCATTTGTTATAAGATGTTAATGTTGCCCTCCACCTGTTTGTTTGTTTGTCCAAAGGGGAAAGGAGATCTGATCCCAACATTGCTGTGCCCATTGCGCTGTCCCACCATGCAGAACTTCTGAAAGATGAGTCTGTGATGTGTACAACTGCATAAACTTAGGGTTAGGAACCCTGCACTTCTGCAATTCATGGTGGCATGGAATGCCTGTGCTCATACAACTGTCACTGTGTAGGCAACCATGATGTTCAATGCATGACATTCAGGAGTGGAACTGCCTGGTGCATCAATGTTTAGGACAAGGCTAATGGGCAGAGTTCCACGTACCCCTCCAATCATTGAATATATGCAGTGGGTGGGTGTGTTAGGGAGAGAGAAGTTGTGTATTACCCTAATGGAAATCCTTCTAAATATTAGTTTTAATTATATACATTAAATATGTGTGTGTGTGTGTGTGTGAGAGAGAGAGAGAGAGAGAGAGAAACTTTCATCCATATTATACATTGCTACAACTCATGCTGCGTTTAGATTTATTGTTCAATATCCATAGTAACATACTGGAACAGAGATCATAGAAGAATTCTAGAATGATTCTTGCCTAAAACCGTTGGGAATACTTTTGCCGAAATGTGTTATTTGTTCCATTTATTTCTCTGGTTCCAGAGCTGCCAGAAACGGGATCTCTTGAAGAACAGAGATGGACAGCTGGCAAGGAACCACCAGTCCTGTCAGCAGCAACGTGACAGATCTAACAATTGGTTTCACCTCCTCAGCAATAGCTGTCATCTTGTTTGGAACAAACTTTGTACCAGTTAAGAAATTTGACACTGGCGATGGTAAATGTTTGTGACTGAATTGCTATTGTTATACTTTACATGGTACATGTTGCAAAATGTCCATACTCTTTAAAACAACAGCCACTTTATATCAGGTTGATGACAGAATCACAGAGCTGGAATATTTCTATAACTAAATAAACATTGTTGTAAATGGGATTTAGTATTTGACTCACCCACTAAACAAGCTGAGTAGCTGGTATTTTCTAGAAGTTATCACATCATCAGCTCAGTTGGTGGAGCATGAGACTCTTAATCTCAGGGTTGTGGGTTCAAGCCCCATGTTGGGCAAAAGATTCCTTCATTGCAGGGATATGAAGAGTCAATGCAAATGAATTGCTCCTGCTTCTGTTTGCAGGGGCAAATCCAACAAAGCATGCTTTGAATGTTGTTTTTCAGTAAACTGCATGTTAAGGTAAACACATAGGTTTTTTTTAAAAAAATAAAAAATTAAAGCATGCTAAAGCTGGCCACTTCTGTTCTGAATGGCAAAATAGCCATGGGGCTCTGCACTAAAGTGGGGTCCTTTGCCAGTTTTCCTGCTGAAAGTCCTACTCTCTACCGCTAGCTACTGATGGGCTGTGGAAGGTGCTGTTTATTCCCAGTCCAGAGCCCTGAGTCGAGTGAAGAGTTCATTCTGGGTCATGAGTTTGACATAAGGAATAAGGAAAACATGTTTATTGCAATATATAGTTTGGTTCCCAGTTCAGTGGTGTTGCTACACTGAAGGGCCATCACCCAGGGGAAGGGTTGTAACTCAGTGATGGAGGGACCCAGGTTCCATCCTTGGATGTCCAGGTTGCGCAGGGAGTGCCCTCTACCTGTAATCCTGGTGAGCTTCTGCCAGTCAGTGAAGACAACACTGATCTGGATGGACTAATGATTTGATTCATTCTAAGGCAGCTTCCTATATTTCTGTGCTCTGCCTTATCATGTTCTCAGTCTATCCACATCTTTTTTTCTAATTAGGCCCTATCTGCCTTCTCTTCCCTTAGATTCTAGTTCTTAATCTGCTGCCTACAGTGCATTCTCTTCCCCACTTTGAGACGCCCTTATAACTCAGTTTTCTGTCTTCAGCTTCCATACTTATCCGTATCGTTGCCAAGGTGAGGTTTAACACCAGCCAAAGTGATGTTTTCCTTCTGTTTCTTACATCTTCATTTCCCAAGTAGTTTTGAAACATTCCGTGATATCGCAGCTGCTCAGCCAAAGACGTCGCCACCACCACCACCAAATCTCCCAACGCTTCTTATGATATAGACTAAAACTAAACAGAATGATCTGTTGTGCTTAATTATTCTTGGATTTATTTGTGTTCTAGGAATGTTCTTCCAATGGATTCTCTGTGCCGCTATCTGGATAGTTTCTTTGATTGTTAACCTTATTCAGAACAGCCCTAGATTTTGGCCTCTTGCCATGGTTGGCGGCTTTTTATGGGCTACAGGTATGGCTGAAATAACACTTACCTTGTCACAATTTAACACCCATGCACATGTGAATCTATGCACCATTTGCAGATTGCAGGAATATCATAAAATGCAATTGTTAATACTGAGACATATGCACGTATTGGCCTTCTTCAATCACTTTTTGTCTTAAGGCAGGTTGGGTGGGGCTCTAATGATAACAAAAACAATACTAATGTTATTATTTATACCCCACTTATCTGGCTGGGTTGCCGCAGCCACTCTGGGCGGCTTCCAACACATATACTTCACAGGTAATTTGTATTACAAGAAAATAGAACAGTTAACATTTTGAAGTAAAACCTGCACTGCCAGCTACTCTGCAGTGTAAACACACCACTGATTTGACCTTAAGGTGTGCATCGTGGTTTCAAATAAAAAGCAAGATACAAAGGCAACACTTTGGCAAAGCTTCATAATAAGCAACGGGGGGGAATAACACTCATCACATTACAAGCATATTAGCTCTGCCCACATCCACACCTTGGTTCGCATTCTGATCACCCTCCACAGGCTGAAAAGCAATATTCTGCAGCACGGCGCCACCTGTGCTCTGGGAGGCTTCCTGCACATTTTAGAATCGGGGGGGGGGGGGCTCATGGAGGGTGATCAGAAGGGCAAAGCCAGAGCACTTCTCCTCATGCCCTCTTCCCACCTGTTTATGTAATATGACGAGAGAATGTCTGAAGAGGGCTATTAATTTTGTCTCACATCCGCTGCTATGTAATTCAGCATGACGAGAATACTAAATGCTATTGTGTGGTAGAGTTACATTAAAAACAATAAGTGCTTGATCCTACAAGGACTTTCAGGGTTCTTCTAGCTGTGATTTGTCTGTCTGTTCAGTGGTCTTTTTTTTCCCCTCTCTGAGATTTCATGTCAAATCACTTAAAGGCTGGTAGAGCTTTAGTGTGACTGCTTCAGAAAAGAGTGCCAAGTGTGGCATTCAGTTACTGTATTGAAAACACTGAGCTGACCCAGACTTAAGTCTGAATCCAACCCACGGGGAATATTTTAAGTTTGTTTACATTGACTCAGAGACTGTAGGGATGTTGCTGTGAGGTTGTGCTGGGCTACCATCCCCACCTGCCAGCCACAAAGTCATCAGTCATGTGAAAGAGACCTTTGTACATAAGAGCTCTGTGCATACACATTTGTATGTAAAGGTAAAGGGACCCCTGACCATTAGGTCCAGTCGTAACCGACTCTGGGGTTGTGGCGTTCATCTTGCTTTATTGGCCAAGGGAGCCGGTGTACAGCTTCCGGGTCATGTGGCCAGCATGACTAAGCTGCTTCTGGCAAACCAGAGCAGTGCACGGAAACGCCGTTTACCTTCCCGCCGGAGCAGGACCTATTTATCTACTTGCACTTTGATGCGCTTTCGAACTGCTAGGTTGGCAGGAGCAGGGACCAAGCAACGGGGGCTCACTTGAACCGCCAACCTTCTGATCGGCAAGTCCTAGGCTCTGTGGTTTAACCCACAGCGCCACCCACGTGTATGCATTTAGGGCCTATTCTGTGAAGCTGGGGCATGGCAAAAAAGAGTCGTGGCAAATATGGCTGCTCAAGATGGTTTCACAATCTCCTAACACATTGGGTGAACGTGTGGTGGGAGTAATTTGTACCCCCAGCATGTAAAGGTACAGTATGTGAGTACGGAGGAATGACAAATTATTATCCTTCAGTGCCTTATATATGTTAAGAGGCATGTAATTTGAACAGTTAAGGTACATAAGAGTTGGACGCTGTGCACATTCACCAAGCCTCATGGCGAATGTGCACATCATCCATCCACAGGGAGGGAATTGTACGCAATTCCTGGTCAATATACAAAATCCTCAACAGGTTTCGGGAAACGGGTATATATCTCGGTTTAGTTTTGTACATTCTCTGGCCATGATGCATAATCTAGCGCACTAAATGTAGTGATTTATTGTAGATTATGCTTATTAGCAGTTGTATTAATAATACTGATATAGAGCTACTGTAGTAAGATTATACTGTATTAATAATCAGCTAATTTTGCTTTTGTTCTTTTCATACTGTGCAGGTAATATAACAGTTGTCCCCATTGTCAAAACCATTGGGTTGGGCCTTGGTCTCTTAATCTGGGCTTCTTTTAACTTGCTAACCGGCTGGGCAAGCTCAAGGTAAGCACCATGTATACTTCACCTATAGTATGAGTCATCATACTATACTTAAAAATTACCATTAACAAGACCAATGTCTTGACAAAAGCATTTTCTCTCTGTGTAATGTACTTCATCGTAATATACGATCTTGCCCCAAAGATCAGGCTCAAAATATTATCTGGATACTTCCATCCTGATGTAATTTCTCAATCTTTATACATTCACAAGTTGACTTCAAGATGTTATTATGTGTGTGTCAGATATAATGTCAGCTAGGCCCTATAAACCATGTGAGGATCCTTAATATGCTGAATTAAATGTTTCCATGAGGAATTAATAGTTATTTATATTTTTAAAGAGTTGTTAAAATTTTTGCAATGTACAAGACTAGCTCAACTACTAAATATTTTTCAAGACAGTATTTTTATTTTTCTGATGGTGCATGAGATCGAGACATCTTTACTTCCAGGAATGGATTCATTTATATTTTTATATACATCCTTTCGGCATATACAAGAGCAAGTCAAACTGCAGTGCTGTGACCCTGGGGAAAAAATCAATGTTCTTTGCCAAGCTATCATTCCCTTGTACTTGTGATTGCCACACACAATTTATTTATGCAAGCTAGATAGCTTTTCCTGCACTTTTCTATGTCCTTCTCATTTTGGAAACAATTTAAAAGAGTTTTTAACCTTTCTGTTCACAGGTTTGGCTGGTTTGGGATTGACCCAGAAGAAGTAGCAAAACCAGCTTTAAACTACATTGGAGCTGGACTTTCAGTATTAAGGTATTAATAATCTTACTATATTTCTATTTTGAAACACTACTTATGCATATAAGTATGTGTGTGTATGTGTGTATATACATATATGCAAGTGAATCAGAATTTAAAAACAACTGAGGCAAAGTAAAACTTTTATTCTTTTGAGTCTGCAGGTAAGCTGTTGAAGGCTACAATTCCTAACCACATACTAGGTAGGAAGGAAGTCCCATTGGCCCAGTGAAATTTACTTCTTAGTAAATATGCATAGGATATCACCATTTATGAAGCAATGTTGTCCCTCAGCCAGAGATATTAAAGGATAATATCTTAACAAATGATTTTTAAAATCTGCAAAATGAAGTAAGGGAAATTAAATCATGTATGATTTAGCTGAGATTCCTGTATTGCAAGGGGTTGGACTAAATAATCACAATTCTATGATTCTTTAAGACACATGCACACACACACACACACACAAACACACACACAGAGAGAGTCGTGCCTTGGAAGTCGAACGGAATCCGTTCCGGAAGTCCATTCCACTTCCAAAACGTTCGGAAACCAAAGCACGGCTTCTGATTGGCTGTAGGAAGCTCCTGCAGCCAATCGGAAGCCACGGAAGCCCCATTGGACATTTGGCTTCCAAAAATAGTTCGCAAACCAGAACACTTCCAGGTTTGCGGCATTCAGGAGCCAAAACATTCGAGAACTAAGCTGTCAAAAACCAAGGTACGACTGTGTGTGTGTGTGTGTGTGTGTGTGCATAAAATGCTGCAACACGATGGTGTTTAGTTCATCATGATATTTCATTTGCAGTGCCATCCTATTTCTTTTCATAAAAAGTGATGTTGAGAGCTCTTCACCGTCATCGGAGAGCACCCCACTATTAAGACATGTAAGTTTTTGCTTTTGTTCATGTTACACTTCCGCACTAGAAAAAAAACACTATAACACAGAACTTATTCCAACCACTTTCTTTTCAAGGTAGCCCTTACGAGGCCTCCCACATTTTTTCACAACTGTAAAGGATATTGGAAAGAAGAGAAAGTACCATTATTTGTGCCCTCTAGGGTTAGGAAGCAAGGAAGATTTAGCGAGACAAACTTATCAGGATATAGCTTCCAATGTTGTTCAAATATCAATTCAAAAATGAAAATAACTGGGGTGTTGAGAAATCTCTTTTCTTGGACATCTCAGTGTGTGTGAGTGCTTTTAAATGGGGTTTTTTGTGTTTTCGGTGCATTTTTTTTAGAGGGTTACTTATTTATTTGTTTTTTAATATCTATATTTATCATGTATTGTTGTACCTGCATTAATTTATGCTGTGAGCATCCTTGGGTCCTGCACTAGGAGAAAGCAGGGAAAGAAAAGAAGAGCAATGAAATGAAATGAATAATAATAAATAATAATAATAAAGCTGATAATTCTTTAGTTATCAGCTCCTAGCTCCTTCCTTCCTCATCCCCAAGTGAATGAGCATACCTAGCACAATCCAGGTCTGAATGTTGTCAGAAATCTTAGCCTTAATGGCTTTCCTTTTCACCAACAGTCAATCAACAGCTCTGATCATAGCGCTGAAAACAGGACTGATGCTTCATGGGTTGACCATCTTTCTCCGTTAGGAAAGAGAATGATGTAAGTTGTCCCACCCTTTCTAGTGAATTACCTCTAGCCTACCTGGCTCCTGTTTCATTCTTCCTTTGGTGAACTTCACAAGGCAATAAAGACGACAAACTGTAACCATTCTGTGGCAGTGATGAGTGCTCCAACATCTCTTTCAAGACAGCAATTTCTAGAAAACTACTGGCAGTTCTCCAGCATGTTTTCGGCCGCAGCTCTGCAAACCTGCAATGAATGTTGTAGTGCAATGGGTGTCTTTGAGTTTGTAATATCTTGATCTTTCTTTCTCCTGGAAGAGGCTGCTCCCTGGCTGTGATAGCTGGAATGTTTTATGGCTCGAGTTTTGTGCCAGTGCTTTACATCAAGGACCACGGCAGAAGGAATGGAACGAAATATAGCGGAGCAAGTCAGTTTGGTAAAGGCAGATGAATTGTTTTAATATCAAATCTAAACCAGTGGGAAATTTTGCTCATTCATGATGGGTGAAAGGGGAGGGGAAAGTCTTTCCCCCTTTGCTTATCTATCCCTTCTTTGTTTGTTTGTTTGTTTGTTTGTTTGTTTGTTTGTTTATTATATGTATTAATCACCTCATAATATAGTTTCTCTAGGTCATTGGTGAGGCGTTTCTAGCTTGCAGGCCTAATTTGCTCCATGACATGGTTTGACCCAAGCCACACCTACCTGTCCATCACTTGAGGTCATATGACATCAGGTGCCAGACAGATAAAGTCATGGCAGCTAATTTAAAAGGAAGAATTAGGAGCACACTTTCCCAGCCCTAGGCTACTGTGCCTTTAAATCACAGTCTTTCCCTCAAAGAATTCTGGGCACTGTAGTTCACCCCCACAGAGTTACTGTTCCCAGCAATCCTTAACGAACTGCAGTAGTTCATCCATTGGTGACATCAACATTGAATTACAGCAGTGCACTCTATGCTGGGCTTCTCTTGCGCTTGACCTGAGAACTGCAGTTAGTGCAGAATGCTAGTGCAGTTGCTGATTTCTTACTGGGTAAAGTTCTAAGTTGCTACTATTGTTATATCAAGCCATTAATGGCTTGGGACCAGTTTACTTGCAGAATCGCCTTATCCCATACGTACCCACTCAAAGGCTTTGATCTGTGAAACTGTCATCTTCACTGTGTTCTTTCCGGCGCTTACAGTCATACCTCGGAAGTCAGCCGTCTTGCTAGATGAACGTTTTGGCTCCCAAACGCCGCAAACCAGGAAGTGATTGTTCCAGTTTGCAAACTATTTTTGGAACCCGAACATCCGTTGCGGCTTCCAGCACCCAATCGGAAGCCGCGCCTTGGTTCCCAAATGTTTTGGAAGTCGAATGGACTTCCAGAACAGATTCTGTTCGACTTCCAAGGTACCACTATACCTGAAAACCTTTTTCGTTTTGGCAAGCCTATACAGACACCAGACACACAGATGTTGATGTTTTTACATATTTTCTACTGTTATTTTTAATTGTTTTAAAATGTTTTAGAATGGTTTTTAACTATTTCTATTGATGCTTTTAATATTTGTTGTAAACCACAAATAAATCATTTAGTTTAAATCAGTGAGACATTTAGTGTAGTATTTACAGTCATGTTTACATTGCACATATATACTGAGCAAAGCCTCTTGATCAGCTAAAACCGGGGAAGGTATTGAAGACCTTATATGAACAAACGTGTGGCTAAGGTATGAGCAAGACCTTACCAGAAGTAATTGCTGCTTTTCTAGAATATTGTTAATTTCCTAAACATATTCTACATATGCATATGCCTCCCATTTTTGTTTCAGATTTAGATTACGTCTTTGCCCATTTTAGTGGCATCTTCCTTACAAGTACCATCTACTTCCTGATCTATTGTGCAGCAATGAAAAATAGACCTAAGGTTTATCCTGAAGCCATCATCCCAGGTAGAATTCTGAAATACATGTGCATTGCAGATCACTATCAAACATACTTCGTTCTGTTGCTATTAGACATATGTAGGCAATGTTTGAGTATGGGTATTTTGGGGAGGTATTATATTAATAATGTCGTAGTGGAAAAGTAGCCAACACGGTGCTCTCTAGAAGTTGTTGAACGCCAGTTCACATCTGGATCATCTGGAGAGCACTGCACTGGCTCCTCATAAAAAGAAACCTGTTACATATGGAAGAATACATCTGATTAGCTCATTCAACAAAGAATATGTTTGCATTTGCAAGGATACATACAGCTGTGCCTGCATCCAGGAGCAGGTGGGGCGTTTCTGCTGCGGGGAAAGATCAGTGCCCCACCAATTTGGTGCCCCTTAGCTCCTCAAGGGACACAAAGGCTGGTGTTAAATAGTGGCTTTCACCCCAGGCTAAAAATCAGATAGTCCCTGCTTTGTATTCATTTCTGACATGAACTCCTGGTGAATTTAAGGTGAGCTGTTCTCCTTCAGCCTCAGTTCCGCCCATTTACAATAACCATTACAGGATTGTTGTTAAGAATAGGAAAGTAGCCAATGCAGGCTAAGAGCTTTGAGCCCTTGAAAGCCCTTTGCAAATGCAGCATGGCCTTAGGATTCGAGCTGGGCAATATATTGGTAAATGGTCTGAAACCTCTATGCCATTTCAGATCGCAATGCCCGTTTCAGACATTTTGGGCTGGCAATACATCACACCAGCTCAAATTACTTGCAGACGGCTCCTTCCTTGGAGGTTTTTAAGCAGAGGTTGGATGGCCATCTGTCATACACGATTTAGCTGATATTCCTGCGCATAGCTGGCAACGTTTCCCTTTTTTTAAGAGAAATTCCCTTATTCCGAATAGGATTCCTCGCAAGAAAAGGGAAAAGTTGACAGCTATGTTCCTGCGTGGCAGGGGGTTGGACTAGATGACCCCCTGGGTCCCTTCCAAGTCTATATTGCTATGATTTCTATGGGTAATAAAATATGCTTATTTGTTGTCAGGATTTGTTTCTGGTGTATTGTGGGCGATCGCCACTTCCTGCTGGTTCCTAGCAAATCATTACCTCAGTGCTGTGGTCAGCTTTCCAATAATCACAGCGGTAAGTACCAAAGAAGGACCTGCTCATAAACATAGGTTTCAAAGGGGGGGGGTTGCATATCAAACCACATATACACCCCACCCCACTCCTGTCTTTGTTATGGAGGTTTCACGTACAATAGAGTGTCATGAAATTCTACTCAATATTGATCCAGAGCAGAACTCTGACGTATAGTTAGCAGATCAAAAACTTAAAATACTTTGCAGGATTCCCAAAAACAGATCAGAGGCAATTATATTTCATCCAGCAGAGCTTTACTGCTACTGAAGGCAAGTGAGCATAATGGTCACAAATCAAATACATTCAGGATTGGCACTGTCCATAAGAAATCCAGTTGCAACAGACCCAACTTAAACTTACAATAACTTATAAAAAGTCTAAAACCGTAACACTATATACAGAACACCACATCAGAAGGAAAAGAGATAGAAAGAAAAGTGAAACCTAGGCTCCTTCTGGCCTTAGTTTTATAGTAAGCATGACCTTGACTGAAACAGAACCAGTTTAAGCCAGCTGTACCTAGTTTCTCTGAAGGAATAACCCAAACATCATGAACCTTCTGCTTGTTTCTTTCACACAGAAAAGCTTCTAGAACCCTCTTGAATTAATTAGAATAGGAAAGATCTCTACATATCAGATCAATACTTTCTAATCTAAGAAATGCAAACTGACACAGAGGTGGGCAGACTTCAGGCTTGCGGGATCTACTTTTGCTTTTTACTGTAACCACAAGATCTACCAATCAGGCTTGGTGCAAAAGAATTCTGAACCCTGGAATTTGGTTTGGGCACGAAACCTGAATAGCCTGAACCCATATAGACTGAATATCTCAGCTGACTAGAGTGTGGTGCTGACAGTGCCAAGGTTGCAGGTTCTATCCCCGTATGGGACAGCTGCATATTCCTGCATTGCAGGAAGTTGGACTAGATGATCCTCAGGGTCCCTTTCAACACCTACAATTCTATAATTCTAACTGAACTGAGCCCCCACAAAAAATACACTCCTGGTTACACACAATTTTCCGTTTTGGTGGTATGATTTAGGGTTGGGGAAGTCATTTTGTTTCTGCCATTGTTAAATCATTGGCAGTCGGGAATCCTAATAGATCTACTACAAATCGCCCAGAAATCCAGATCTGGCCTCTTCCAGTTCTGACAGACGACATTCATTATGTTCTTCTCATTTTAAGACAATGTACTTTCATCTCTCTAGCATCTACAGTGGTACCTCGGGTTACAGACTCCGCTAACCCAGAAATAGTACCTTGGGTTAAGAACTTTGCTTCAGGATGAGAACAGAAATCACATGGCGGTGGTGTGGCAGCAGCGGGAGGCCCCATTAGCTAAAGTGGTACCTCAGGTTAAGAACAGTTTCAGGTTAAGAACGGACCTCCGGAACAAATTAACTTCTTAACCCGAGGTACCTCTGTATTGCATTCTGCTTGACCATGCTCATTCTGATGGAAAACAAGGTGGTCAGAATCTTCATGCTGTTAGAGAAGGATGCTGACCTGCACATCTATGAGGAACCCCTAAATGGGAAAGGAAGCAGTGGGCATTACTTTCCATGGGAAAGTGTGCCTTGGTTTTGGAATGCTTTGCTTTTGGAACAGACTTTTGGAACAGATTAAGTTTGAGAATAACACACAGTTGTAACATAAAGTCTCCTTGCAGCGTTCCAACACACACTAGGCTCTGGCCAAGGGCAAATTGACTTCAAACACATGTACATTTTTATACTTTCGATTGTGCTAAGTCACTCTCACATGCTCAGCTAGTTGCAGGTGCAGGACAAACACACCCAGAATTAACCAGCACACCTAACTTAACCCTTTTTTGTCCCTTTTCTCTGCATGCATAAACCCTGATACATTGACAGAACTCCTCAAAATAGCTCTCTCAAGCAAATGGGGGAGCTCAGAGAAGAGTGCACTGTTTCATAGCCCATTGACCCCTTTAGGCATGAAGGAAAAGTTCAAAGCAGCCATTGAGAGGAACTGTGTCAGGGGAGGAGGCAAGCTGCTCTCCTTATTCTCCAGTTGAGAAGAGGGAAAGGATAAAAAGTCCTTCCCACCACAAGCGCCACTTTTCATCATGGCAATCTGCAGTTGCACCTGTCCTGTTGACTTATAGGGTGTAGTAAATTATAACAAGCTGCAGAGATGAGGATCACTCAGCAGATATATCTTGTCCTTTTTCAGAAGGAGGAAATTGGAGATACTTCTGAGCCGTTTTGAGATAAAATGTGCAGGGGCAGCTGAGGTCAAAGCTGGCAATAGAAAAGAAATTGCAATAAATATTCTGGCTACCGCACAGCAGGGTACTAAAAATAGGAACCTTTGTACTTCATTTATGGAAATGGATGTCTGGGATGAGCAGCAAGGTAACTAAGATTGGAAACACCTTGAAAAGCAGTGGGGAAATTGTGCTCTAGAGATAGGCGGGGAGGAGAGAAGGAAAGCCAGTTTCAGAGCAAAGCCTGTTATAGATGTTGTTCGTGGGCATATTTCAGCCTGGATGTCTGTGACCTGGGTGTCTGTAATATGTGCAAAGAGTGGCAAGCTTTAAATCCACTTTAAAGCAGTGGTGCTTGCTTCTGAGTAGACATATATAGCAGTGATGTCCAACCGGTTGACCACAATCGACATGTAGATCGCCTTCATGTTCCCGGTAGATCGTGGTTGATTGCATGCAAGTAATGTCCCCACCTCCCGCCCCAGTTGCAAGGTTCCTCCGTTGGCATCAGCATCAGTTACCAAAAAGCGAAAGTAATGTTAGCTTTAGTGCGGCGTTCGATAGTCAGCACATCAGTTTCTTGTGAGCGTTTGTTCTATTCCCTCCCCCAAAATAAGCTCTACAAACACTGTGCCTTCTCCCCTAAAAAAGAAAAAAGCTCAACAACTCTGACCAACCCCCCCCCCAAAAAAAAAATCATACAGAACAAAGAAATTGAGGGGGGGAGACAATGGGTAGATCAATGCCAGTTATTTTATACTGGGAGTAGATCACAGTCTCAAGGGCAGCTTTTCTCAACCTGTGGGTCCCCAGATGTTGTTGAACTACAAGTCCCATCACCCCAGCTAGCAAGGCCAGAGCTCAGGGATGATGGGAGTTGTAGTCCAACAACATCTGGGGACCAACAGGTTGAGAACTGCTGCTCTAGGGAGTTGGATGTGCCTGATATATAGGATTGCAACTGTAAATGTATCTTTGCATATAGAGTCATAGAACTGTAGAGTTGGAAGGGTCCACATGGGTCATCTAGCCCAACCCCCTGCGAAGGAGCTTCCAGGGTGTTTCTAGTATGGGATTCCGTTACATATCAGCATATTCAGGTTGTGCCATTGCAGTTCATTTGGAGCTCTCGCCAAACAAACCTGATTCCCCCTCAGGAAAAGGGGGGGGGGGGTTTGCGGTAAGGAAAGTGACAGAGAAGCATACTGGGAAATGTGGGTTAACACTTGGTTGATGAAACATCCTCTATCCTCCCAACAACAAACACATCCAAATGGATTCTCAATAAAACACAGGCCTCCCTGCAAACAAATCAGGACGATGGCTCAATAAAGCAGGTAATCTGTAAGTGCCCCCCAGAGGTTTGCTTTGTTTTTGCGGGATTGGCATGCCTTTTATTAAAGGCCATTATCTTCTCACATTCTTCTTTCTGTCATCATCACGAGCAACAATTTAGCACATGATTACGTTTTAGTGAAGGCAAGATTGAATTTAAATAAGATAATTGGGCTCTAGCAAATCCTCATGAACAAATGCTATTATGATTATTCATCGTGTCTTAATCTTGTTCTCCAGGGTCCTGGCTTTATAGCTGCAATGTGGGGAGTCCTGGTATTTAAAGAAATAAAGGTAAGGGCTGCAACATGTTCCTCTCATCTTTGATGTATCCGCATCAGAAAAAAATGATGCTTGGGAAGTTCTAAGTATCGGGGGAGGCAGGCAAATCTAGAGATTTTTTATTTCTTTCTCTCTAGTAATACTAGGTCATCCATTGAAGCTGCAAGGTGGGAGGTTCAGAATGATTCTTCCCACAGCACATAGATAACCTATGGCGTTTGCTGCTATGTGACCACCAACTAAGATGGCTTAAAAGACCCCATTTAGACAAATTTATGGTGGATAAGTCTTCTCATAGCTACTTGTTTTGGGGGCTATGTGTGTAACAAAATTCCCAGTGACAGCTTCTGCTAAGGAAAGGAATTTCCTTATGTTACGCATTTATATTACCGTATTTTTCGCTCTATAAGACACACTTTTCCCTCCTAAAAAGGACGGGGAAATGTGTGTGCGTCTTACGGAGCAAATGCAGGCGGGAGACTCTGCTCAGTGCTCCCTTTAAAGAGCCGCGTGGAGCCCCCAAGAGTCCCACACACACTCCGCGCACTCTTTAAGGGGAGCGCGGCTCTTGGGGGAGCCTTAGCCGTGCGCAGCCTCTTCCGGGCAGGGGGAGCCTTCATCCCGCTGCCCGGGAGAGGCTGTGCGTGGCTATCCCATAAGCCAGGACAGCACAGTGATCCCGCTTGATGTCCTGGCTTCTGGAATTCAAAATATTTTTTTTCTTGTTTTCCTCTTCCAAAAACTAGGTGCGTCTTATGGTCTGGTGCGTCTTGTAGAGCAAAAAATACGGCATATTGTTTGTTGTGTTCTATGTTGTAAATCGCCCTCTGGTCCTTTAAATGAAGGGTGGCATACGCATTTTAAACATTAAATAAATAAATAAATAAATCCAAGCTTTTGGGAGAGGCAGCTTGTAGTGAGGCAGCATTGTGGAAAAGCAGGGGCTTAACCAGCCACTTCCCTGATACATACATACACTCACACACACTAATACACCACTATTCTCCTTACTGGTTCCGGGTTTGAAAGCATAAACCCCCACCTGAAACACTGTGGGAGGCTAGTGGGGAAAGTCCCTAAGAAGGATGTTGTGGCTGCAAAGTGGGGAGAGGCAAGGACCTCCTCCTCCTCTGCACCCCTTTCCAGAACTTCAGTTTTCCTAGAAAGAGCAGCTGCTGGAATTTGTTGCCCCATGTCCATGTATAACGTCTAGTCCTGTCTTTCCTTGCTGCATTGAACCAGCCTATTTTCCCTACATGGGTGTGTTTGTTTACATTCAGGAATGGGTCATCCAGTGGGACAGAGACAAAGCAATAGTCTCCTGGCAGCAGCGTTGCTGCAGCTCACTAGAAGGGGGAACAGCAGAGGTGGGTGGGTGGGTGTGTACCGGTAGGAGTGCCAGATTGGCTCTATCATTGTGCCCACCCATTTCTGACCTTTCTGCCACCTCAATTCTCCACCTCTGGATGAGTGTCTGCAGCTGATACTGCTGCTGCGAGGCTGTTAGTGGCACTCCACCCCACTGGATGAGCTGCCCCTCCACACATTATTATCACATTTATATCTCACCCATGCTCCAAGAAGCTCAAGGCAGTGTATGTTAGGCTGAGAGATAATGACTGGCCCACCAAGATCACTCTGTATAAGAAAGGGACCCAGGTGTCTCCAGTGCAAGTTCAGCACTCAAACTGATGTTACATACTGTTTCATACAGATAATTTGGCCAGATAAATTTAACTAAGCAAATATTATCTGACCGCTACCATTTGTATAATGTGTTCTGACAAACGCATATCTTACTCTACAATAAAGTTGTCGGTGTGCAGCATTTTGCAAATAACGCAATACCAAGCCTGACTTCTGGAAAATAACACCACTTCTCTTTCTTCCCCACACATCCCAGGGGGTGGTCTGAAGGTACATGAGGGCACAACCTTGCTGAAACCAGGCAGGTCTGGGTCTGGTGAGTCTGGGACCCCTAGGAACCAGAGTAGGCCGTCTTGGAGGTCATAATGGTCAAAAGGCAAGATATAAATGTAAGAACATTTGAAAAATAACAAATAATCCCTTTCTATGTCTATGCAGGGGCTGAAAAACTATCTGTTGCTTCTAATAGCATTTTGTGTTATTTTGGCTGGGTCGCTCTCGACAGCTTTTTCTAAAGTCTGAAGAACCACTGCCTGAACCAGCAGGTGGAGCTGTGGCTTAAGACACGAAAGAGAAGATAATATCTGGCATTTTCTTGGATCACTAATATCATCACTCTCGCCAGAGAAGCAAGGGGCAAAAGTCCATAGAGCAAGAACTTTTTGTGGGAAATGCAAGGCATTCATCATGTTTTCCACATTTGGGAAGATAAGGGAAAACCTTTTTATGTTCTCTCAGCTGGATGATTATGGGCTGAAATCCAGGTCAGAGGTTTTAATGATCCCATTATGTTTTATATTATGGCTTGTTGTTTATTGGGGTGAGGGTAACGTATAAAAGGAAGAGTTCAGTGAAGTGTAAGTGCTGATTACTATGCAGAGGAAGTAATGTTTGTGTTGGGGCATTGCATCTTTCTTTTATTTCTAATACCGGACCTTTTAATAAAGAACATCACCCAGATACTCCACCTTTAGACAAAGACACACAGAGTTTGCTCAGCAAACAGTCTGATGAAGAGTTCTAGAGAACTCGAAGAGTTTACTCACCACTTTATGACATTCTGGTTTACCCTTGTCGATTTTGTGTTGCTTTCTTTGTAATGAACCCAAGGTAGCTACCAAAAAGTTTCTGGACCATCCTGTTGAGGGAGCACAATGCACCAACCCTGTTGAAGCCAAGCAGGTCTGGTCATTGCCTGGATGAGAGTCCATCTGGGAATCTTGTGTAGGCCATCTTGAGCTCCATAATGGAAAAAAGATGGGAGATAAATGTACTGAACAAATAAAGAATTTTAAGCTTGCCCAAGGACCTGCACTGGAGGCCATTCCCAGTGGGCAATTTCAGGGGAATTGACCAGCTCAAACATTGGGATGAGCATCCTAATGGTTTGAGATATTCGGCAGTGGAAGAACCTGCCTTGGGAAATTTTGGGCTGTCGTTCACTGGAGTTATTTAAACTGAGTCTGGACAGTCATCTACAGATTGAACCCTGCTTCCCCTCCAAAATGGGATCGCCTCTATACATTCCTCCTCCTATCAGCAAAGCTGTTGTGATATATATGCACCGTATTTTTCCATGTATAAGACTAGTTTTCCCCCCTAAAAAATAATGTAAAAAATTAGGGGGAGTCTTATATACGGAAAAATATGGTATATTGTCACGATATGGAATGTTGTAAATAAATAGATGCAAATAGGTGAAAATATATTTTTAATTGGATGAGGCTGAGTAAAAGGATTAAGAATGTTTATCAAAGTACTGGTGTCATGAGAAAGATGAACAGGTATACTCTTGACTTGGAAGAGTAACAGAACATGGCAGAACAAGGGCAATTGACCACACCCTTGGACCGGACTGAGAATTACATTTTGCTAACCAGAAGGAAAAAATAGGATTAAAAACACTTAGCAGGTCGAGCAGTTTTTATCTGATTTTTAGCTTATTGTTGATTTTAATTTTTTTTGGATATTTTATATGGCTATTTTAAAACTGTTTTTTTTTTCACTGACAATTTCATTTTCTAAATGACTTTGAGGTTTTATTACAACCAAACAATACAGAAACCTTGTGAAAATAAAATCATAGCACAATTTCCAGTGAAATTATTGAGTTTGCCAGTTTGGACCATGAAACTGCCCAGCCTTGTTCGACAGGCCTGGAGAAGGAAGAAGATGAAAGGTATAATAAAGATGCTTTCATTCCTTGTGCATTACCTGTTCTGTTTCCAATTCTAGTCCATCTGCTGCCCTTAATTATTATGTTCCAGGCAATTTCAAGGTAGCAAACATACCATCTGTTGTGTCTGTCACCCCGCTGACTTTCTGTATCAGTGGTTTAACTAACAAAGGTCTAGCTGTAATTAATTTTGGCTCCATGAGACGGAAAAGCATTTCCTTATGGAATCCCATTCCGTCTATAAACAGCTTGATATTGGCCTGTATTCAGGCCTCCCTTTGGGTAGCATGTGTTGACAGAACAATCCCTGGTAATCCTGGATAACAAACAAACAAACATCCTTCCACAACCCTTTGAATCCTGGTTTTTGACTTGGTTATGGGACGAATATGCTTTTGTAATTAGAGTGAATTATCTGGGCTGGGAGATTGACAGAGGGAAATACATCATCCAAGTTGTTTCTGTTACATCTGTCCATAGCTTCTTTTGGATCATCTGGTGGAAGCATTTTCATTTTAAGTGAAGCTCATGCACTTGAGAAAGATGCAGAGTAAAGTAGACTGAGGGGGGGGGTTCCACATTTGCTTGTACAAGTGGTGAGGTTTTTTTGGTTATTTTGAAAATCATTTTTATTTGATTTTACAAGTGCAAATTAGTTACAATAGCAAATGCATATCCATAAAATGAGATTTCTCCGATCTCGCAACTCCCCCATCTCCTCCATGGGTCCTATTGTCAACATTACCAACTGCATATTACAGTAGTACCTCAGGTTACAGACGCTTCAGGTTACAAACTCTGCTAACCCAGAAATAGTACCTCGGGTTAAGAACTTTGCTTCAGGATTGTGCGGCGGTGGTGGGAGGCCCCATTAGCTAAAGTGGTATCTCAGGTTAAGAACAGACCTCCGGAACGAATTAAGTTCTTAACCCAAGGTACCACTGTACTTCATAGTCTATATTTTGTATCTATCCATATTATCCTTAATATTTATTACATTACAAGTGGCATTAAAATCCTGTTAATGTTTTCATCTGCTTACAGTGGTCTCCTAAATAAATTATAAACTTTCCCCATTCTTTCTTGAATTTCTTGTCTTCTTGGTCTTTGAGTTTCCTGGTCACTTTTGCCACTTCAGCAGAGTCTAACAGCTTAGTTTGCCATTCCTCTCTGGTGGGGCTCTTTCTTCTTTCCATCTCTGGACTAGTAGCATCCGTGCTGCTGTTGTCGCATACATAAAAAGTCTTTTCTGTTCCTTTGGGATGTCGGTTTTTTAACAAAAGCTATTTTAAAAATTATATAAATTCAGTATATATCATTTCCCAGAAAGCCTTTATTACTTTATAAGACCACCACATGTTATAAAAGATACCTTATTTTTCTTTACATTTCCAGAAGGTATTTGTACTTGTTTTATACATTTTTGCTAATTTACTAGGAGTTAAATACCACTGGGAAGGGACGCGGGTGGCGCTGTGGGTTAAACCACAGAGCCTAGGACTTGCCGATCAGAAGGTTGGCAGTTCGAATCCCCGCGACGGGGTGCGCTCCCGTTGCTCGGTCCCTGCTCCTGCCAACCTAGCAGTTCGGAAGCATGTCAAAGTGCAAGTAGATAAATAGGTACTGCTCTGGCAGGAAAGTAAACAGCGTTTCCATGCGCTGCTCTGGTTCGCCAGAAGCGGCTTAGTCATGCTGGCCACATGACCCAGAAAAACTGTCTGCGGACAAATGTCGTCTCCCTCAACCAGTAAAGCGAGATGAGCGCTGCAACCCCACAGTTGTCCGTGACTGGACCTAACGGTCAGGGGTCCCTTTACCTTTACCTAAATACCACTGGTACATCAGTACAACTGTTTTTAAGGTCTGTGCTGCCAGTCTCCTTTGAGACCATGACAGGACGCATGCAAACCACACACTTCTGTGCAATGCATGATTGAGGTCAATCCAAAGGGGGGCTATCCACATACAGCAGCTCAGTGGGGTTGGGAATCCTGGTCAGTCAGGATTCACATCCCCATGGCAGAAGCCCTATGCACATACTGTATATCTTATCTGTTTGTTAGTCCCAGCCAACTAACACCAGTTGGCACCAGCCATCTACCAATCATCATCTAGCATATCTGTTATCAAATGCTGTTTATCTATTACTTTAATGCTTCACTTCAAATCTAACTCAAGCAGAAAGAATAGGAGATGCAGTATTGCAAAATAAGTCAGTTTATGAGCTGAGAGCAACTCTGTTCTTCACAGGAGCCTTTACTGAAAGGTTAAATAATTTTTGTTATATTATTATTACTGTCCTGCTCCTCCACTGTATTTTGTAAACCGAATTTTGCCTTCACTGTTTTACTCATTCCATTACTCAGTAGCCCAAGCATTGCTCTAAAATTGGAGCAATCAATACTCATTCAGTTGCAGGACTGCCTCAAGCTGCATGTTGCTTTTTCCTTCTAAAAGCATACTTGTACAAAAATGAATGCTGCTGATCATCTGATTTATTTTGTTATTATTTTCTTTTTCTTTTCTTTTTTTAAATGATGTTTATTGAGAATTTTTTTTTAAATTACAAAAAAAAGAAACAAGACCAAAAAAAAAGAAAAAGAAAAAGTAAAACCATCATTCTCCAATTCTCCACTTTCAATACCTTCTTTCCTTGACCTCCTCCTCCTCCCTTTTCCTGTATCCTGATTTATAATAATCACAGCAAATCCTTTCCATAATTCATAATATTCTGTCCTCACATTACCTTAATCTATTTTCATCTTATCTTATATATAAAAAGTTTAGAACTTAAATCTTAATTTTTACCAACTTCTCCTAACCATAACATTCTTACCTAATTCTTTAGACATTTTTATAAGAGCCAAATAATTTCATTTCAACATTTTCCTAACATTCATCAATTTTGTAAAACAGTCCTAATGATAGAAATAGAAACTTAAGCAATCCAATCTTCATCCAGCATCCCTTCCTCCTGGTCCCGGGTTTTGTCAGTCCTTTTTGTCCTATTAATCTAGCACATTAACCTGGCAATCTTATATCCGAGGCCCTCAAGTCTCTTCCATGTCCCTTCCACAGCTCTTCTTCATATTTTCCTTTTATTCGTGGGAACTCCAGCTTGGTAATGTTTTTGACCCTTTTCAACAAAACAGTCCCTTTTCCATAGTCCAGACTAGACTCGATGTAGTATTTAAAAACATGTTCCAGATTCCCTTCAAAGTTGAGAGCCCCCACTGCTCCAGACATCTGACGGCCCCTTTCCAGACTCGAAAAGTCCAAATCTCCCTGTATAGGGGGGTCTATCCAACCCCCCATTTCCAAACCAAACCAAATTTTATCTTTCCAAGTCTGGTCTTTTCCAAGTTCATTTGTCAAATCCAAAAATTTATATTCCTGCTGGGCCGCAGCTCCTTCCGTCTCTGGCGCCCAAGATTCAGCAGAATCCTCATCTCTCAGCTGTTCTGTCATGGCACGCTCCTGTTTTAGTTCCTGGGTGGGCTCCATATAGTTTCCCACTACCTGTTCAAAGGTTCTGGCCGCATTAGTCATCAAATCCGTCTTCTGGCTTAACTGATCCAATAGGGCATTTATTTTGCAGAAAGCACCCAACAGTGCTTCTGCAGACATTGTCCTGCAAGGTCACAAACCCTTTCCCACGGTTGTAATCAGTGACAGCTGCAAGCTCCCAGGGATTAGTTACAATTTCACAGTTCCCCTCTAGGAGGAAAAACCTCTGATTGTTCTTTCTCTTAAAAACAATAGCAACAAAGTTTCCTTTTTAAGATATTTTGTCCATATTTGTTCTTTTAAGATGCGAAAGGGAGCAATGGAGTCACTATGTTTCTCTTCTTTTAACTATCTGTCAAAGACATTTGTTTCTGGTCAGTGAGCTTCAAACGTCAATTCTGACACCCCGCTCCAGGATCAGGACGGTGGAAAATTACTTTGCTTTAGATTCACTTCTGCAGGTTTAAACAGCTCGAAAAAAGCTCCCCCTTCTTCTCCTGCTACCGAAGGGGGGTTCAGCGATTTTAAATGATGAAAGTCAATCCTTTAAGAGTGATTTTTAAAGCTCTAGTTTGCGTTGTCTTTGCTTTGTTCTGGCTACAGGGAAACGGAAGGCTGACTTCCTGTTTAAAACTTTCCATTTCAGTACCAAATTAAGGTGAATTTTTAAGTCCAAATTCCTTTCTATTTCACCAGTTCTTATTTAAAGTCCAGATATTCAATGTTCCAGTACTCACGGTTGGTTATTTTAGATGCCAAATTGTCCCAGGAAAAAGGCAGCGCTCTCCGGCAATGGCTATGCGGCTTCGCTCCGCAGGAAAAGCGATTGACTCACAGCACCGCGCCACTTCCCCCTCTTCGCTTCGGAGCCCGTTTGTGGGTTCCTTTGCGGGTTGGGGGGGCGCTAAGGGTGCCCGCCGAGTCCCACGGTCACAGGCTTCATCCGCCTGTGATTTCCAGAAGGGTCCCCGCTTCGCCGCAGCAGAAAAGACCCGTTTCATGCGGAGCTGGTCCCTCCAGTTCGGAGGGAGTCCGCCATTGCCGATGGCGCCACCCCGGAAGTCCTATTTTGTTATTATTTTCTGTTCCTCTTGTCTAACCACTCAAGCTGAGGGTGGGAGTCTGTCTTTGACCTTTGTGTCTATGAATATATGCTGCTACATCTCATTTGTGTATTGTGGGATTGTCTTCTTAAACCATATTTTTTAAAGCAGATCTTAGGGCTGATTCATAGAATCTTGGAGTTGAAAGGGATCCAAGGGTCATCTAGTCCAACCCCCGGCAATGCAGGAATTTCAGCTAAAGCATCCATGACAGATGGCTATTCACACACTTGCATCATTTCATGATTCTGAACTGAATGTTTGAATCCTATTGTCCTGCATTGTGAGATAGTGAAAGTTCTGCCTAGTGATACTAGGTTTGTGATGGCTGTGTCTCACAGTGTTTCAGCCCTGTTGTGATAAAAGACACCTGTGAGAACTCACCATTTATTTGCTTGTCATCAGAAGCCAAAATTCTGCAGCCAAATAACCAGTCTCTTCCAATTCAATTCAGTCATAAAATCTGCAAATTACCGAAGTTTTGTTTTCAGCCTTCATTTTCTAAACCATGAATAATTCATGCAATATATTTCAGAATAGAAACAGCAGAAATTCATTCTAAATTATGGCATGACATATATGATTTCCATTTCCACCGGTGCCATTTTTAAAAATAATACTCATAAAGCAAATATTTGAAAAGGGGGGGAAATGTTTATGTCACGGCTGTTGGTTTCATTGGGTTGAAACCAACATCAGTGATATCATTGTCACAGGGCCAGAAATGTATGAACCAATGAGGCAGAAAAGCATCCCTCTTATCTTTAAATGTGCAACCTTTAGATAATGGGAAAGAACTAGAATGGTTATGCTACTAAAATGCATAATGGAATAGGCTTGGGGTGTTTAAAGATAAACAGAAGTTTATCAGAAAGGGTTGACTCATCTACCAGATTACCAGCAAAGTTAGTCAGGGAATTTGTATTTATTCTAGCCTTTTTTAGCATTTACTTACAAAATGCTTAGACCAGTTTTATTCCATTTTTCCTGTACTTGGAGAGCAAAACACATCGCCAAATACCAGATACGTATCAGCTTCAAGTTTAATTGTAAATCCTGCCTTAAAATTAAGGTCACTTAAGGAAGAAATGCAGAACTGTGGCCCTTCAGATATTGGATTCCTTTCACCCCTGACCATTGGCCATGCTTATCTGGGTCCAAAAACATCTGGAGGGTCACAGCTTCCCAGTCACTGATTTAAAGGCATAGTGAACCTAGTCCTAGCCTAGGAATTGAGGTGCTGCAAGCAACTTTCTCTGGACCAAGTTGAGCTGTATTCTTGTGCAGTTCGTTCAGCCACAGAATGCATTGTATGTATAAGCTAGTGTACATATGTATGTATAT